TTWRRRGTGCAATCGGAACCGATGTGTGAGTATGAACCATTTTCGTTTGTTTTAGAGTTAAACCGTATAGTTACACTTCCCTAGCTTAGATTTTTACCTAGCGATTTCCTACAAGAATATCTGGTAATTTTATGTAAGTTGTTTTCTTGCTCGTTTGTTCCCTAATCGCTTGCAATTGCGTTCTTACAAACACGTTTTATAGCACCGTGCAATTTTATTTCCTTCAAGATCTTAGCGTTTATCGTAACTGGGAGTGTTAGCAGCCCGTGATCTCGGGCACTGTTCAATCAGTAAAGCATCCCCTCACACACCGCGACACGTTGTCTCGCAAGTGACCTTCGGCCTTTCAGCAATCGCCGTGAATCTGGCGTGACAAAACGGTTTGCCGTAAATCGGTTAGTATTTCTATTTATCTTGTATTCAATTCTATCAGCCATTTCAAATTATCTAAACATCCATATCACAGGCTATGAAGTTTACTCAGCGACGGAAGGGATTCTTAAATCTAGTCAATGTAACCAAGAGTTAATGTTTATTTTATATTAATGATAATCATTATGGGTCAATTGTAACTTTTAAGTATCGCAGGAGGTTCCCATATTAGTCAAAACCTATGCCAGTGTACATCTGTTAATTAACAAAAGAAAAAGGTGTTCTCGGAGGGAGTGATCATTGTTTTGATTCTGAGACTTTGAAATAATGTATTCTGGGTTCGTTTTGGTTTTGACTTTTCCTATAGATCAAAGCAGTCTTACTACTAGTATCTGTTTCTTTTCGTTGTTGTTGGTGTTTTTGTTGTTGTCCTTAATCAGTACTTGTGAACAACACTTATGTTACCACCCCCTCTTGAAAAGGTTAAAAACTAAAGGTTGGAGATAATTGGAAATAATTGAAAAAGTTTGGGAGATGCATCATGACTATAAAACGAAGATTCTTCACTTTTAACGTCACAAAACAGTGTTGTTCGCGCAATACTTGGCCACCTCTTTCATCACTGAAATTTAGCATTGGGTTTAGGTGTTCGCCACCTGGTAAGACTGAAAAAAAAAATCAATGGACTTGCCGTTTGCAGGTTCCAGTGACTAAAATATTAGTGCATGACCACGAATGACACAGATGCCACGAATTCTTGCCGCACAGGGAGGTGTGGTCAGCGAAAAGGACACGAACAAAAATATACCTTAAATAAACAGAGATCAACTGCTTAATCTTTTTCTAGTTTTGTCACCCTGTGAAACTGACTCTAAATATTCTTTCGGTGTTATTCTAAGATTCAACAGACTTCTTGGACCACTAATCGTATGGTGAATCTCATTGATGTCTTTGTCGGCTAAAAAAATTAGAGCATTTAGGATCGTATGGGAATAATAGACATCAAAAATAATGAAAAAAAATTAGAGAATTTTGGTACTGTGTTGAAGGGTGGAAAACTAACTTCCCTTTCATGGTATTCAATTTTGTGCCTTACTTTTTTACAAGAAATTGAAAGTTATCGAAAAGTCTGACTTAGCTTGAATGAATAATTGATTTTACCTTGAAGTGGCCCGTTTCCCGAGTCAATATCAACCTGACAACTGGAGCGTTGAAAATGAACGTATCCAAGGAGAAATGAATATTTTCTTTGCTTCTCGGCTAATTTCTTCTTCTCAGCCGCGGGCTTGATTAGCACACACAGCAGTAGCCGAGGGGGTTTTATTCGTTCACCGAAAGTATGGCAGGGTAGAGCAGACTGGGCTAAAAATTTGAGAGGCGGGAGGTCAAGGACGGTCTTTAGATAAACGAAAGAGAGTTCTAAGATCACAAGCCACGTTCATCAGAAGTTAGAAAGGGGGAATAAAGAGGTTCACCTGGAGGAAAATCTTATCAGAGTTAGGGTTCACTGAAGTAAAGTTTGTTCGTGCACTGATATTCCTCTTCAAGGAATTACATCTTAGTCAAAGAACGGAGAAAAGTAAAACTTGTCCGTATTAATGTGAAAATAATTCAATGATTTACCTCTCTTGTAATTAACGAAGTTGTGTGTCACATCGAAACATGTCTCACATAGAACAATTTTGGATCCCCTTAAAAAGAATTACCAGTTTTTCTGATATGGTGAATCCGCAGTTAAATTAACTTTGCGCCAAGCCCTCGACATTCCACAATGCATGTGAAGACTGCAGTTTGCAGAGTTGTGTCATGAATACCTTCTAAAAAATGTTTCAAAACTTACTTGCTGTTAATTTTTTCTGCTTTGGTTTTTTTGTCTATCTGATCTTCCATATCGAAGTGAAATAAGAGTTCGCCGTGATTTGGGTGGAGTTTGCAAAGACATGTGGACAGCAGCCGGTAATGATATGGTTCCGGTGAGGAAAATGACGGTGGACACTTCCAACACTGCCACACAACTGTTTACTCTTACCGCATCGGGTAATGCCAAACTCAGTCAACCTGTATACACAACATTCAAAGGTAAGATTAAGTAAAAGCCTGTGCGAGAGTGCATCTCATTAGAGAGGGTCAGCATTGCAGTATTACGCCCTAGTCCCTTACAAAGGTTTTGTTTCCAGTCGAGGGTAATCCTTTACAAGTTTTTTAAGACACGAGGTACTTGGTGTCCCAAGGGAAAAAAATAGTTTGTGTTCCCCGTTTACATAGTCCTAGAATGTTCAGGAAGAGAAGTATTAAAACGAGAAAAATCTCCAGTTTTTAAATGGCAAAGGGCCTAAATTCTAGAGATTGTTCTTTTAAGAGCCATCTTTAAAAAAGTATTTTTCTCTTGTATCAAGAAATCCTTTTCGACCCTTTTTCCACCAAGATCTCTCAGCGAAGAAGTTTTTTTCTTTTGGCCCTGCGCCGAGTTATTAAAAGCACGCATTTCTATTCCAGATCTGCCATGTTAATCCATAGCTTGTTTTTAGTTTTTTATTTCCCCTAGCAGGTTCAGTGCGCTCGGTCTGTACTGGTCAGGATTCTCCCATACAGACCTCCCGCTCGGTTTATAAGAACAAACTAATACACATTTGCTGTCGTGTATGTCAGACAGTGGCCACTGAAATGCGGTAAGTGTCGTTTGGTGAATTTATGTTATTATGTATACAAGTTTGTTCTCTATACAATACAATCAGCTCTGTTTCGATTTACAAAAACAATTTTTTTTTCTTAAAAAGTATAGAGAGTGAGTAAAATATTGTTTTTACGTTGAGAGAATTCAGTAACATTTGACTCGATTTCTTAGCCATTTTGCTATCATTATTTTCACATTTGACAGGTGAGGTTGGTCGTCAGGGAAGTAGAACCGTTGTTAATTAAGGGTCTCCACTACTTGTACCAAGTGTTCTTAGAACAACAGGCAGGCAGATTGACTATAACACCTCCGATTACCAATGCCGTCGATTTGACTCAGCAGGTAACATCCGATAGAACATACTCTCTAGAAAGAATAAATGGCCGAGCTTGCTGTCGATTTGACTCAGCAGGTAACATCCGATAGAACATACTCTCTAGAAAGAATAAATGGCCGAGCTTGACGTCCAATTTGATGTACAAACTCTCAAGACTATTGAATAAAGAGTTGAGTACACTTTTAATCTCGATTTAGTAATCTTCGATTTTGAATGGTTTGGTGGCAAGAGTAAAAGAATGGAACTGAATATGAAAAAAAAAATAATGTTCAGGATCTTCCAACCTCTCTTGACAAGGAAAGAGTGTAGTCGCCGTATGATCTTTATCCTCCTTCTCGGCTACACACCTGCCAAATCTGACTAACATTCGGTATCCTATCGATCGCAACCCCCGCTCACCAACATACCATTCACTTGAAATGACATTCAGCAAATCTGGCAGAAGTTTCTACATCGGAACCAGCCCTTCATTTGAGATGGCCCTGTACACTGCATGTTTCTTTGGAGAGCCAGGCGATTGTACGTCCAGTATAGACAGTCATCTGCTTCAAATAAAGACCATCAATTTCAACAATGCAGGAATGGTTTTCACTTCATATCCCACGGCTTAGACGTCCACAACAGACGTTTTTCTTTGATAGGAGGTCCATGTCCTGTCCATCTGATGCGTCAGTCGCATCCCGCCATTCTCTACCACGCTGTTTCCCTTCAGTTTTGCGGAAGGATCCACATCGCTGACAATTATTTCTTTTAATTCATGTTTCAGTTGATATCACTAAATAATACAGCATTAAAGGAATAATGGTCGAACAAAGCCTGTTAAAGTTTTTTTACTGAGTGAATGGAAAGGTCGAACGGGAAATATTTTGCTCGAGGCCATGAAGTACGGCCAAAAAATTTAGCCGTTAGGCTTAATAATTGACAAAATTGTAACCGATAGTCGTAAAAAAAACTATGGTAACAACAGTGGGTTGATATTAACCCTCAGCCGTGAAATGGCCAAAATTATAACCGTTTAGCGGTATGAGCCAAATTTTTGACCATATTTTCCACAGTCTAAAACAAAAGCAAAAAATAATAATCATGCTAATTTGATTAGCGTGGTTTGTGTAACCTCGCCATTTTTTTTTTTTTTTGCATCTCACTAAAGTGAATAGAGCAATTATTTTAAACCAAAAAACGAAACTAAAAATAGTGGAACTGTAAAATATACTGCTTATCATTTTCTTGTACGAGTTCACACAATTCTGACACAAAGGTAAGCTCAAAACACGTCAGTGCTGTAGTTTAGCTCACACAAATTCTAACATTCCAGATCTCAAATTGCCCGGAAACGCTGCTATACGCAAACGCGTAACGCATGATTTCAACTTTGGATAAGTCACGGTTTTAGTTCGTCGACTCTAAGTTGTGCAGGTTATTGCCAAAGGTAGGAAATCTTTCTTTGTAGCATTTATAGTTTAAAGATTAGAATCTACAGTAGTTTGGATTTCTTTCATAAACTGACCTTAACAGTGTCTTTCTGCCCTCGGTTGTGTCAATATTGTTCTTCTCGTACCCGAGGTGAGCGAGTTTCGTACGGCATCAAGTAGAGCACATGAAAAATCACGAGTGCAATACACGAATAAACACGGCCTACGATAAAGCATAACTACAAACCAGAAACGAAGCGTAAAGTGATACATTTTTCAAATACTCATCCATTGAAGCCATTTCCTCGATTCTTTATCCTTTCATAAGCGTTTTCTTTGAGATTCCCAAATAAATCGGGTGTTGCGAAAACGAAGACCCTCGAAAACGAAGACCCAGTAAACAGAAAACCGTAGAAATTACAACTTAAAAACACATTAAACAGCAACAACGCTTCGAGAATATCAACACCAATTTAGCTCGCATATCGAAACAGAACACTGACAAGACGGACCGTATAATAATACGGGCAGTATAATATTGGGAAGAAACGCGTGAAGTGTAATGTATTATTATATTACTAGGCGTTGTTACTGTTTCACGTGCGTTTAACTTGTAATTTCTACGGTTTTCTGTTTACAGGATCTTCGTTTTCGTAGTACGAAAACGAAGACCGGGTCTTAGGTCTTAGGTCTTCGTTTTCGAGGGAGAGAATATATGATTTCATGTGAACGATATTTGAAGTTAGTCAACGAATACGAACGTAACTCGATGATGTTGGAAGAAATTTTGAAGAGGAATACGATGTTCAAAAAGCTTCATCGCTAAAACCATAGTTAATCGAGGGGAATGCTAAAACCAGCGATCAAATAACAAGTATATATCAATTTCTGAGTTCCGATAACTCAAAAGACGCAAGACAATAATTATTCAAAATTTTGGCGGCCAAGATAATGTATCCAGTTACAACAAGTCACACAATGCAAATATGGGCTAAACTTCAGAATACCCGGCCACTCATTTACATGTCATTGAATAAGAATAGCATCTATTGTGTTATGCTTCATTCTTCAAAGCCTCCCTACACATGTAAATGATGTGGACGGGTAAATGATGTGGACGGGTATTCTGAAGTTGCTCTAAGAATAGCATCTATTGTGTTATGCTTCATTCTTCAAAGCCTCCCGACACATGAAAATGATGTGGACGGGTATTCTTAAGTTGCTCCAAATATGTAATCTGGTCTTTGTCCAGAATGCTAAAACAAGAAGGGGAGTATTTTGGATTCTGCTAACAACTCAATTGATTTAAAACTCAAAGAAGCTTTTTATATAAATAAGATCAAACCTGAACTTAACAAACAATTACAGCATTATAACACTTTTCTAGCGTTCTAGTTTGCACCTTTGATTTTTTTGGTGTCACGTTGTAATTAGTACCCGCTTTTGTATTACATCATATCGTAACTAATTTATTCATCTACTTGTATACTATATAATTGTTCACACTCAGTTACTCATTGAATGAAGATGGCATATGCATGCCGAAACATGTCTTTCGAAAAAGTTGTATAGTTCTTACAACATCTATCATACTTGCTATTATTGCGACATATATGTTTGTTTTACATTTTACTACACTCGTCTTACAGGAAAGATGAATAGCATCGTGGGGCGTTTAGCAATTTATGCGGTCTTCTTTTTGGTTCCGGTTCTTGGAAAACCAGTTGAGAAATCAGAATGGATAGAACTATCTTACCCGTTCAACAATGAGACCATCTACTGGCCGACAGCAGTGAGTTTCAAGCACACCTTGGTGTTCGAAAATTACACTTCTGGTGGGTTTTACTACGCTTCATACGATATCAGCGCCTCCGAACACGGTGGCACCCATATTGATGCACCAAGGCATTTTGCTGCCGGAAAATGGACGGCAGACCAAATACCACTTCATCACCTCATTGGGCCAGCAATAAAAATTGATTTATCTTCCAAAGCTGATCAGGTGAAATTTTGTCTCTGTTTTCAAAGTTTATGAATAGACTGCAACTACTTCAACTCAGTCGTGAATAGGCATCTCCGATTACAACGCACATTCCCTATCATTCCGCCAACGCTTTCAGCAAAATTGTATTGAATTTTAAACTGCCGAAACTTGTTGAATTATGTTCGCTTCACTGGTAAGTGAGTTGCTAAAAAATTGGTTTCAAATCACGATAAAATTCCAGTAGATAGGTTTGTCTTTTATCGTCACCTTTATGCTGAAGAACGTATTGAGATTCTTAGGGGAATTACTAATGTTAATTGAGCTGAGTGGGGTGCAATTTGGTCTGAAATCATACGCGAGATTCAATGCACTTTATTACATCTATTTTGAAATCAAGTACGATGTTTTTTAGTCGGTGCAAAAATTTTATTGATCCAGTTTCAAATAAAGTTCAAATCGAATTTGTGTAACTATACAGAGTTTCTTCAGTAGATTTCTTTGATTCTCGTAACCGTAATGCATGATTCATTGATGACGCTGTATGGAGGAATTTGATGCTATTTACTATACTAAGTTATAGGTTTAACAACCTTGTTGTGTTGCCAAGACAGGCAGCGGGGAATAAATGTACCATTTACAGCGTCTGAAACTGATAGCAACCCCAATTAGCGCCACGAATGATTAATGCCTAGAGAATGGTACGAGCCAACCTCGTTCCTTGGGCCTTTTCCCTTAGCTGGGAGAGGGTGACCGGCCGATGCCAGGGCCTTTTCCGCCCCACCCTCAACTAAGGGAAAAGGCCCTGGGAACGAGGTTGGGTACGAGCCATTTTTTTCTTCTTCCTTTTGTTTAGAACGCTGACTACGAGATGACACCAAGCGACTTACAGGAATGGGAAAAGAAACACGGCAAGATCCCAGATAATGTGATTTTGCTAGCATTTTTCGGTTGGGGAAAACATTGGCCGAATAAGACAATGTATCTAGGAACTGATCTCAAAAACACCTCCCTGCTGCATTTCCCAGGTACGTTGTTGAAATAATAGACAAAAATGATATTTGAGAAGAAGCTAAAGGGGACCATAAATACAAATTAAGAAAAAATTAGGAAAGAAAATAAAATGACCGTAAGCGATGGAATAATTGAAAATTATGTTAAAAGCATTTTATGCCTTTTTTTTTTAAATTTTCGCCGAGATTTCTAGCCTTTTACTGCAGGGGCGGATCTAGGGGGAGGGTGCAGGGGGTGCGCACCCCCCCTGAGAGGACCTGCGGCTTTCTAATACAAGTGGTATTCTGCTATTATAATTTGTTTACGTCCGGTCACCAGTCAGGTACGCCATTCTTTAGTGGTGCACCCCCTCCTCAAAAAAATCCTGGATCCGCCCCTGTACTGAGTAACAACGTAAAAGTCTTGGTTCCCAGAAATACAGTGCTGTATCTATATAATCGAAAACTCAGCTAAAATAATGATTACTTTAACACTTTGGTCGGTCAGTGAATATTTTCATAATAGATGATGATCGCACCACCTCAATATCCCGAATTTAAGTCTCTATCCTTACGGGTGGATTGCCATGACCGTCATTTCTAAGCAGTGAGATATCGGCGGTTTCCTCCCTATTCCTAGCTGCTGCATACTTTGAGTTTTCTCCTCAAAAAATTTTTCCTTCCACTTGCGAAGGTTGATATTTTTTTTGTTTCTTCCCAAATAAAGAAGCAAGCGTTGTATAGCCTTACATGTATCTAATGATATGCCCCGGCCATACCTTGGCTAGGGAAACGAAACGAAGACAGCTTTTTTTTCGTAGGAATACACCCCAACGCTTCTAGTTGGTTGGTTAAGAATCGCAAAGTCAAGATGGTTGGTATAGATACCCCATCCATAGATTTCGGACAGTCCAAGATGTTCAAAACGCATCAAATCCTGTATGCAGAGAACATTCCTGGCCTTGAAAATGTCGCCCACATGGATAAATTGCCTACGAAAGGTTTCACTGTGTATGCAGCACCTATGTTTATTTCCGGCGGAAGTGGAGGGCCTTGCCGGATTTTTGCTCGTTTGGAAGACCGTGCGACGAGTGCTGACGTAAGGTTCCAGGTCGAGGTTGAGGTTTTGGCAATAATGATTTGCCTGTTGTTTGGATTTTTGTCACTTTAAGAGCCAAAGCACCAGCAGCAGCTGTGACAACGTCTTGAATTCGAAAAGAATGCAAGGAATTAAATCATAGTTCAAATAGCTCAAATAAAGTAAAACAAAAAGTTGTATAAGTCTTGCGTTAAATCTAATGCCACAAACCCCCCTCCCTCCTACTCCCCCCCACAAACACACACACACACACACACTTTACCCCTCCCCCCCACGCACACACACACACTTCACCCCTCCTTAGAACAAGCTTCAAAAATGGGGCTGAAACGTGGCAACATCAAATATTTAACGACCACCGGTCTGTCATACAAATACACAAGTTGAAACTGTCGAGGTTTCTTACTGTTATAAGGGCCTCATCGATTTTAAATGGCGTGCTGTTGTACGTGCACGTGCTTTTTTGTTTCCTGTTATAGACCTGTCTTCCTCGACATCGATGATCAAGTTTCGATGCCACTTAAGTGGAGGAATTATACAAAAAAACCGTGCATTACAGCAGAACGCGTATATGAATTTGCCTTCAGGCTAATACAGGTGGATTTTAAAAGCTGTCTTAACATTGGTAAGATAACAGCGTAAAGTACGCCGGGCAATTGACGAGCGAGGGCGTTTGAAAGCCGAGGTGTTTTCTGATATTGGTTCAAGTCACACTGTAGAAATTTATATTTCAAAACGGTGGTGAAACCCCTATTCTTCAAGAGGGAATGAAAACTATGGAAACCTCTATTTTAAATATAGGTGGTTTGCAACCAATCTCTTGAGACACGGGTAACAATGGTGAAAGGAACAAATACTCGTGGACGAACAAAAGAAGCTAATGGGATATCTATTGTTTACGTCCACCAACATGGCTGCGATGACGTAACGTGCAAACCACCTAAAGGATCTCAATTTGCATTTTTCTTTAATTGGCGCTCCATATGCGTCATAGCCGATTATTTCATAATTTTTCCCGTTATCGAAAAAGACGTTCATAAACTCTGCACAACCATCTCTGTAACGAAATCTAAGGGTTTTTGGATCATTTATTAATTTCCCTCCCTCCTCGCGTATATGTATAAAGAAAGTTATTAATTCTGAAACAAGAGAATACATTATCTTCTTATGAAAGTAAGTGCTAACGGCCTCTTCTAAAGTGGAATCGTCGAAATTCAAGGTTTTAAGTTTCAAGGTTTTCATTACAGCTCTACCGGCTACTCTATCATCAGATCATCTGATAAACAAGACTTGCGCGAGGAAAGTTCTAGATAAACGTAAGTACATAAAACAAATAGAGGTTTTGCAACACGTGAATAAATTATAACCGGTCAGATTGTTTTGAGACTAAATTCGTCGGTTGAAACGATTATGTCAGGCCTCCGTTAAGTTACTGAAGCGTAAGCAATTTAGAAACGTAGTTGAATAAACGCTTTAGCTGAGTTTTGTTGATCTTAGTTTGAAGTAATAAGCGACGAATTCCTATTCTTATAGCTAGGAAACAAAAATGTTAATGTTGAATTGTACGATGAGTGTAAGAAGAACTGAAGTATAGCGTGTGAAATCTCGTAGCTGTAGTGATTCAAAACGCTAAACACAGGTTTTTGCTGTCTTAAGATGGAACTTCACATCAAATCTACTAAAAATTATCGAACGTTTATTTTGACGTATGCCTGCATGCAAGGAAACAAAACGCGATGTCTTTTCCATACACAATACATTTTAATACAAAATTGAAGCATTTGAATCTATTCGGATAGATACGTAGTTTTTATAGGTTAATGGTTCAAAGCTCAGCCAGACTCTTTCAGAAATGTTCAAGCATACATACAAAGATAGAGACATGGATGAATCAATAGTTTATTAGAGGAAGCAAGTTAGCAGCTACAATCAACCAAACATCTTTAAGCCGCGCACCTGCCATGATTATGAACATATTTTATGAGTTCAAACATAAATTTAGATGCCAGTGAATGACTACCATTGGCTACAAAAAAATTGAAAAAAAGTGTTGAACAAATAAATAGCGTATGACAATTAAACAGAAAAAATACTTGCTCGGAAGTAAGACGCACTTATGCACAGCGACACCAGTCAGCTGAAAACTCACCCCCAATCTTCGTTTGCACTATATTTAAAGACGTTTTTCTTCTTTCCTTTTATTTGCATGATAGTATTCTTTTATGTCAGTGTTTTGGAATACTCTCTCGTTAAGAGAGGGGTTAGAAAAATCCCCTGTCATGCCCGCTATTCGCACAAACCGTTTTAAGAATACATTTTTTAATAGAATTGTTTTTAAGTATAATGTAGCTTTGTGAAAGTGTACTTCCTGTATTAGATGTAACATAAGATATGTAATTTTATCTTTTGAACAATAAAGACACACAGACACACAGACACACAGACCCAAAGACAATATATAGCCCAGAGCTAATCAGTAAACCACAACAGAGGCGATACTGATTGACTTGAGTCAATCTATCTGCAGTCAGGAATTCAGAAGAGAAAACANGGAGGGTGGGAACCGTGATGCATATGCACATATGGACGCCCTATTTAAATCCATTGTTTTCGAATTTTCTATGTGTTGGTAGGTTGAAGCATGTCATTAACAAAGGTCAAAACCGAAAAATGAACTCTGATTTTACTCACTTAAGCTTATCTTCGGCCTCAACGATGGACAAAAGTACCAAAATATTTTCTTGTTCAAGACTAGCGGGAATCTTCTATGGGTGCCGATAAAAATTAGCGAAAAAGCAGACGCTTCGAAGTCCAATTTTTGCCGCTTGCCTCTGCTACCGTTTACCAGACATATTTTCCAAATATAATCTCATGTATATCTTTTATGAGTATCTTAAAAACGCTAAGTGGGGACCAGCTACTATGGCTATCATTTGAAGAAAGGAGGAAGGCATGGGAGTATGTTAGATACCAAAAAACCGTAGAAAAAAAATTATCCAAAATCGCAAAACCGCAAAAAAATTTTGATCAAAACCCTAATCGATCCAATGCAGTGGTGATAAGTGGAGCATATAGAGGTTTTATAGCCTGTGTGCGGCCAAAATGGTGTTCTGTGACATAACCATTTTGCAAGAAAATATCTGATGACTTTCCATTGGTTTACCGTTTTGCAGATACCTTCGTGAATTCTAATTGACCTCAGTTAGTGGTTTTCTTTCATACTAACAAATGAGATGGTTAACAGAGTGCCTTCATGGTTAACTCTACGGACAACAGCGATCGACGACAAGGCTTAAAGGAAAGTTTCTGCGATTTTCGGGAAGAAGAATTTTCGAGAGGAACAGCAGAAAGCTATACATATGTTTTTCGAAGGTAAAGATGCCTCTGTTTCGTTGCCAACTACTGTAGTTCAGGAAAACCTTTAATACATGAAGCCGCGCCAGTAATTACTCGCCTCTCTTGTCTGGAAGAAACCGTTAGCTATATCTATTTTGCCGTTTGTTAAAGCTCTCAAGAGAGTTAAGGTGCACTTTCTTAATAGACTTGGGTCAACACGATTGCCTGCCTTCCTCTTTCGGTCTCTTGGCGAACAATGCTGCAAAGCTGGTTGTTTCTTGAAACGATCCTATCGACTGAAACATGAGTCGCTCTTTCTTCACACTTGCAGCGTAACTGTCTCATATAGAAGTCTGTAAAACCTTGAGATTCTGCGGCAAATGATCCGGCGTTTTTAGACAACCGTGGCACTGTCTACAAATGTAAGCAGAGACTGCGTACATGTGGAAAGTTTCGTAAGTGTTATGTTTTTGGGTTGCAGAAGAGTACACACACACACACACACAAGATGGCGGGTCAACAGCAAGATTATATTGATAAGAGCACATGGTAACATTTCCGCTGCATACTACGCGGGCTCACAACAAACGGACAGTCAATGCTGAACATCTCCATACTATAACAGTAAGTGCGATGCAAATCGAATATCTTCCCCTTCTTGCTCTTCACCAAAATCGCTCCTTATCTTTTTTTTCAGTATATATTTGAACGCAGTACAAGTTTCTCCGAAATAATAGAAAATAAATTCACTTCAATGTTGTTGTTTACCTCGATTGCTTTTCACGTCACCATATGCCACTTCGCCAGAGATGTTATCAAGATACATAACTTTGCATAGATTGTATCAGGTTTGTCTGAGCGCAGGCGGTGTATGCACTCTGATTGCATTGTATTGTGGTAACGTTATTTTCAATAAAAATAAAAAAAAACTTTAATAGCTAACACAATTACTGGTAACCCAGTAGTTTACATAGTGGGCTGTATTGAGAAGAAGTTTTAACTAATTGCTTAAAAATCCCCACTGGCAGGAGGCGATCAGTGGGCTATTTGCAGAGCGCAGCCAAGGAGTTGAACTAGGGGCAACCGAGAACAAATCCAGTGAGTGGCAGGGTGGAGGACTTGAATCCGGGCCACCAGATTTCAAGTCCAGCACACTAACCACTCGGCCACGCCACCTCCTATGCGGCGGTAAAAGCGGCAGAAATCGACAGATTTTGACTGAACATTCCGTAAAAGTTAGGCCGTTTCTTTTTCCTTTCACTATAGGTAAATATAATTTGATATATTCTGAATGTGTAGAGTTATTATTCGTACGTATTTGTCGCGTATTCTATCGTTCTCAACGACAAACGTAAGCACTGTTTTTCAGCATGTCAATTGAGACCGGTTTTCGAGAAGGTCAAATTCGTTGTACGTCGTAGTTTGAAACCTTTCAAAAATTTGCAACGCCACTTTGATCCCTCTTCAATGGCTCTGATAAAACACACTCAAACGCGCTCCAACGGTACAAATGTTTTAAGCATTTTAAGTGATAGTGTTTGAGACCCTTTTATGGAGCGAAAAGGCCCATTGTTGCGTTTTAGTGTGTTGCGTTACATAGCGTTACTGTTGCCAGGACATTAGGGAGCTTAGGGAGCTTTAGATTCGAGTACGAGAACGAGTACGAGTACGAGTTTACTAGCGTGCTCACATTGCGCATGCGTAGCTCTCCGTGACACTGTCACGGGAGCGGGAAACTCGTCGTCCGCCGCTCGTCGACAACGAGATTTTGACCAGAGGTCGTCTTCTAGAGAACGAGTTTCGAAAGGCGAGTATTTTGTATTTTAAACTTACGCTAGTCT